AAACGCATGCTGATTTTCAAAATCTCTGTTGGCTAAAATGTTATTCAAATAGGCAATCAACATGTTTAAAACATTGCTAGAAAATTAATGATACCTCTATCCATGTATACTTTGCATTCTGCATTACACGGATCAGGATCGATATAATTCGAGATAGGTATGTGAATCACAGGCGCCATTTACGCCTCCGCTCATTTGCCCCACCCGTATAGCCCCTATTACTACCGGTCCCGTAAGACGGGTAGCTGGGAATTTTCGGTACCGGGAGGGCTACCAACTACCATCTAAACCAAAATCTAAAATCACTAGTTTTGATGAACACATGAACAACGTTGCCTATGGTTCTCATAGACTACATGAACTATAATTAATGGTAACTGTCGACGTTACCTACTAGGAAGATAGAACATACGCAAACACATTTGAGGTCGTTGGCCTTACGGCACCAAGGACCGATATTTTGGTCTCCGCAAGTGGATGCTTATTTCCCTGCCACCGTAAGGGACCTGGTGCTGGCTTTAAGGCACCTATCGCGGTTATTTCCTGCCAAACACTATTTAAGATGGAATAGGAAGTTAAGAATCGGTAAGCCTTAATTGATGTCCTAGTCTGCCGCAAAAACTGTGGCGATATAAAACCGAATGCATTCAGGAAAGCAAAAATCTAACTCAAACTTTATCACCTAAGTCTGCATAGACTCATTTGCGAAATAATGCGCCATCGGCTTGTTGAAATGTGACGCAGTGAATAAGAAGACAGGATTGCTGCGTTACAATATCAATCGGGGGTCCTTGGAAAGAACGCTTGCTCGCACAACTTCTTCTATTGTTGCATGCGCTAACGAAAAATCGGACACTCCCTGGCCGACTCGCAATTTTTGCGAGCGTTCTTGTACGTGAAGAACGCATCGAAAGGCGCCAGCCGCCTAAACACAGCCCCTGAAATTGGAGTTACACGCAGACCAGAGGTACTGCGGGTGGGCTAACTCATGACATGTCAACCGAATTTCCATAATGAACCTTCGTTTCAAAATGGTTAATTAAGTAGGGTTGTATAACTAATTAGCATTCAACATATTTCTATAATATTTCAGCAAACACAAGATGTCGGCTTTCGAACGGACGTCTTTCCATACGCATAGAAAAAACTTACTCTATAAAATATGGCTACTTAATAAGCATGCATTTTTCTCATTGATTTTCGACGCCCCTAAAAGTGAAATTATATTTCATGGGAAACATAAATAAAAATATACATTATTTAGCCCATTCGGTGGATAATTTTGTCTTGCACTAATTTTATACTCGACGGAGGGACAAAATTCTGTTTTAAAATGCTTTTAATTGTATGGTTTTTAAATACCATGAAATGGCCTATAATAAATCGTCATGTCTCAGCGTTTACAAATGTGGCTTCCAAAGTTAACAATATGGATCAAATCCGCTGCTTAATTTTATGAACACTTTATGGTTTCTCTTTATTACCGTAGTGGAATATGTGCTTTTCCGTAGGCGGTAATATGCGGCTCGTAGTTTGGGAACCCTGAATCTAATTGTAACAGAAGAAGGAGTTCAAAATTGTTCTGCAAAAGGAAACGTGTTTGATAACTGAATTACAGTAGATGTGCTAACTCATGAAATGTCAACCAAAATTTCGAAATGCGTTCTCGTTTCGAAAAGATAAATTAAGTAGTGTTGTAAAACTGATCATGATGCAGCATAAATCTGTAATGATCCAGTTACCTCAGGATGTCGGCTTTCGAGCAAACTTCTTTACGGCTACATGCAAAAACTTCACTCAGTATTGTTAGCTACTTATCGATGTTCGATGCACCTACGAATTCAATTATATTTCATGTAAAACATGCATAAAAATACATATTATTCTTTCCATTCTGTGGATAATTGCATTTTCCTATAAAATTTATACATGAAGGAGGGACATTATTGGGTTTTAAACAGTTTCTAATTGTCGGACCTTTAAATACCGTAAAATGGTCGTTCATGAAACGCCCTGTCTCTGCATTTACCAATGTGGCTTGTTAAGTGAACACTATGGATAAAATCCAATGCTAACTTGTAAAAGCCTCATATGGCGTCCTCTTAATGCTATAGACAAACGTGCGGTTTTCCCTATGTGAAAAATATACGGTTTGTGGTTTGGAAACCCTGAATGCACGTGTAGCGGAAGGTCGGCCTAACAATTATGCGGGAAGTAGAAAAGTTTTTGAAAACCGAATAATGCCCTTACTTTGAGTATAAGGTTGGAAGAGAAGTTAATTTTCTACCGAATGAGCAAAAGAATGAATACATTCATGATTGTTTTGCGTAAAATATAATTAAACTGTTAAGGGCATTGAAAATCAATGATAAAAAGACATGTTAATCAAGTAGTCATTTCTCAGTGCGTAGTTTCGGCATGCAGCCAGAAAGAGGCTCATTCGAAGGCCGGCATCCATAGATAACTGTATAATTATAGAAATATACTGCAAACTGATTAGTTTTTCAACGCTACATAATTAATCTTTTCGAAACGAAAACTCATTTCGGAATTTCGGTTGAAATTTCACGAGTTAGCCCATGTACTCTATCGATAGCAAGATAGGCGCGTGTGTATCTCAAAATACTTAAGCTGAAATTCATTTATACGAAGAGGTTTGACAGAGATGGAAGGATACGTTTTATTCATGTTAATAACTTGTACACGGAATATCGCATGTGTTAATGCTTTATCATCATGTTTGGTATCGTATACACATTTTCATGAAATGAACATTTTTATTTTTTCTCAGGTTTTTCGATCCAGATTGCGTGAGGCTTACCAAACATTCGGCGGATACGTTGCATTGAAACTGCGCGGCATCACACTGAAGACAACCACCGACATTACTTACTGAAAAAAGTAAAACGATCGACCTAATTATATCCGATAATCTCCGCTTGCGATTTACTATGCAGTCTAAAATTTCCCACAACGCTCTTAGGGATCCATTGGCCCTGATTGATCAAAAGTGACAAAAATGAATGCCAGCGGATTTTGGTTTCTCAGGTGAGGTTTTCTGACCTTTCCATATACAGATTGCCTTTAGTAACTTCCAGTAAAGCGAAAGTCTTTAAACGTCGAGGTAGTCATTGTTTAATAATAATAGGCAATTGTAGTTCCGTTTTTGACTCTTATTTCGTGCAAATTGCTGCCTCTATTTGAGTTACGTATATAGATCATGTTTTTTTTCAATGGGAAGTTAATGAACTGCGAAACTTGTCTGTAAACCTTGCCTCTGGGCATAACTTTTCGCGTCGTTCTGAACATGGGACCAGTACGTCACAGTCTAATTTAAAGTGCAGAAAAGAGCCAAATGTCATAATGCACTATAGATTAGGGTGGTTGGTAGCTATTGTGCGGACAAATAGACTATTGTGATTTCGGGAAGCCATTAATTAAGTGAAGAAGAAGAAGATTCAATCTTTGGAAAAGGAATTTCAAAGAGCTGACGCCTTCCACTCTCACTGCGTTTAATCAGTAAAATGATCAAGCACAGCGTGTCTCAGCTGCCCGCAGATGGGAAAGGTTTTCCTTTCGAGAGGCGCCTACACTCCCGCAGATTTGGTTTCGATACAAGTATTTGAAAAATACCCTGTTGTCGTAATATGTTCCACACAAACCTCCAGTAGAAATGTAGTTGGCGAGGGGTGCGGTATTTCGTCGCGTAAGACAAATGATCTGGATTTCGTTTCAGAACTGCCCTAAGGGGTTCGCTTATACCCTCAGTGGATTGGCCAAGAGAATACGAGGTGCTGCAAATACATGGACGACAACGACACAGGACTGCTTCAACAGAGGGTGACAGAAGGAACCCAAGAACTGGAAACTCTTCGTGAGACTGCATTACGGAACACGTTTCATGAGCTGCCTTATCTGACAACACCACAAAAAACGGCAAACTGGTGCAAAACCTGCTTTCTAGGACGCCAACAGAGGAACAAATGCAGATGTTAAGGGACGAAACCTGATTGAACACAGCTGATTCCAAATCTGTCAACATGGTTAAAGCAGTAATGCAATCAACCTTATCTATTTTTGCGTTTCGTACAGGCATTTATGAAAAATAAAGTGCTAGCTTTCCATATCATACATGGCCTGAACAGCTGATGTATCTCCAATTATTTTTTGCTCGTGGTACCACGCACATTTTGCTCGGTTATCCAAAAAGACGGCTTCTTCTTCAGTAACTGAACGCTCCTCATGCTTATGTTTTTCTGGCCTCCTGTTGGGATTCATTTAATGCCAATTTCGACACACGTCTTATGTCTCGCCAGCCACATTCGCATTCAATACCCGCAATGATGCGCAATTTAATTTGCGTATGCATGTACTACTTGAACCCCTAAGTAGGAATTAACTATACACTCATGAATGCAAAGAACTACCCACCTGTGGCATGCAATCGTGAGATTAATTTTATTTTTAATGTTGTGAATGTGTCGGCTCTTCTTTCATTTGTATTTTCTTATCTTTTTTTAGATAACCATCAACAGGTAGTTCAAATATGTTAACCGATCCTGTTTTTACACAAAATGAGCTGAATTTAAAACTTTGCCCTGACGGGTGCGAGAGAGGAGACGAAAAACTTTAGCAGAAACAAGGCGTTGTAGCTCCTCATGGCTCGTCGGTTGTGTAAAATCATCTCCAATGTCAAGAGTGAAGTAAAAATAGAACTGAAGAAGAACAAAGAACTCGATGTCGGGCTTGCGGTAAGGGACCTTCCACTGCCAATAGAAGCGAAGAGATGAGTCGCAGGAAGTAGTCTTGAAGAAGGAGACACGATCGCCGGAACAAGAGCTTTTTTAGTCTGAAGTTTCGGATTCCTACTCGAATCCATCATCAACACGGCTGACGCCAAACCTGTTAACATAATCGCAGCAGTGGAATCAATCCTTTGTCAGACGGAGGCAACGGAGGAGACTAAGAGTCTCATCCGACACCAAGTGTCGTCTCTCCTGATGGCCCACAGGCCGCGGGAAGTGCTTTCCAAGGTCGAACGTAATGCGCTTAGAGAACTCAAGGCCGATATAGACCTGGTCATCGTGCCAGCGGACAAAGGACGCGCCACAGTTGTACTGGAAAGGACAGACTACCTTCAAAAAACCAAAGGTTTACTGGAGGACCGACAGTTCTATGTCCCATGTGCAACGAACCCTTTAAAGGAGCTGACACGCGAAATTAATGCTACTTCGTTGGCCTTGGAGAACTCAGGTGCAATAACACCGACCGACATACGCATGGCGAGACCCCAAGATACGGCTTTGGCCCGATTCTATGGCGTCCCTAAGGTGCACAAAGACGGCGCTCCTCTCCGACCCATCGTGTCGCTCAAAGGTACTCTAACGTACGGACTGGCTAAGTGGCTGTTCCGGCGTCTCAAGTCCCTGACCGCTGAGTCAGACACCACGGTCTCTTCGTCAGCAAAATTCCTGGAGAAACTCAAAGGGGTAAGCATCCATCCAAATGAGGTCATGGTATCTTTTGGTGTTACATTCCTATTTACTTCTATTCTTCAGGACCTGGCGATCGAGACAATTGAGCTGCTACTACAAAGCAAATACGATGAAACGGAAAACCGTCTTGGGAACGCCCAAATCCTTCAGCTCCTGAAGCTCTGTCTCAGGACGTACTTCACGTTCAACGGGACAATCTACGAACAGGTGAAGGGCACACCGATGGGTTCGTCGATTTCGGGATTCATTGCCGAGTCGAACCTGCAACGATTAGAATCGCTGGTTTTCCAACACCACAGACCGAGATTCTGGGCCCGGTATGCGGATGACACCTTCGTCGTCATCGAACGGGATCAGGTGCTGACATTCCAAGAACGCCGTATTTACGGACATTCAATTTACGATGGATGAGGAAGAGAACAACCAGCTGGCCTTCCTGGATGTCCTCGTATGCCGCAAAGATTTTGGTGATCTTAAAAGCAAAGTGTTCAGGATAGCGACAATTAGGATGCAAGTACTGAACTTCAACAGTAAATACCCAATCAGCCGCAAACGCAGTTGTGTAAGGACGCTCTATCGGCGTGTCGAAACGCACCGCAGTGAGCCAAAAGACAAAATTGCCGAACTACAAAACCTCCGACGGGTCTTCAAAGCCAATGGCTACCCGCGCAACTTTGTCGACCGGTGCATACGCAAAAGGGACGAAAGGCCAAACCGCACGGACACCAAGTCTTGGCGGGCACTTCCGTATGTCAAGAACCTTTCGGAAGCTGTCGGCCGCCTTCTCGCACCACTTGGGATTGGAGTGGCACACAGACCGGAGGCAACCATCAGGCGTCTGGTCATGAAACCGAAAGACCCGCTGCCACGGCTAGAAACGTCTGGAGTCGTTAATCGGATGTGACGCAGCTGCGGACAAAGCAACTACGTCGGAGAAACCGGAAGACAGCTCCGCACGAGAATGGCCGAACACGCGGCAGCGGTGCGCAGAAATGACGCCAACTCTCAAGTTGCGGCTCATTCGACGAGATCCAGCCACACATTCAAATTCGATGAGGCCGAAATTCTCGCAAGAGGTGACAACCGCGTGAGCCGGGATTTACTGGAATCATGGTTTACTGGCCCCCAGTCCATCAACAAGTGCAACGATTTTCCCACTCCATACTGCGTGCTATAACTTCGCCTAGGCGGAGTAACAAGTCATGCGGGGTGCGCACTGGTGAACACTTTTCCCAACACCGGGGTCGGTGCGTCAGATGGTCGAGCAATCATCACGCCAACATCCAGCGCACGTGATGAAATTGCAGCAATTATCGACTCGAATGTCGGCCATCGAGCAGTGATCACACCAAGTGCGACGATCCCGGTTGAAGGGGGAGCCGTGAATGTTCATAGGTATGCGGTAGCATGGCTACGGCATTGTATAAATCCCGCAGCCCCTTGTGCAGCAACCACCCGTTTCTGCTCTTTTGTCTCTGAAGATGGATTCGAGTAGGAATCCGAAACGTCAGGCTAATAAAGCTCCTGTCCCGGCGATCGTGGCTCCTTCTTCAGGACCTTCCACTGTCGTACTTGACATGACTGACAACATCAACATTAATGAAAATATGATTCTAAGGTAGCATATCAAAAGAAAATATGCCCTCTCTAACCAATCATCTCACTCCAGTGCACACCCACATACAGGCTTTCAGACCGGCTATGGCAGAAGCCAAGATTTCTAAACGCTTACACGCATAGAACAGTGCCCTCAGCAGAAAAATTTGTTGACAACATGAAGGTGGTCCTGTTCGAACCGAATGAAAGGATGGCGCCATTTGATGTTATTTCACTCTTTATGTCCGTACAACAGGCTCTCGTGATCAAAACGCTTCGTGACCTGCTACGTCAAAATTGCAATGAGGAAAATGGCCAGTCCACCGTTCAGGATCATCCAGAACTCATGGGACACTGCCTCATGACATTCCTTGCCTTCGAATGTATCACAAATGAGCAAAATAAGGGCACTTTGATGGGTTGACCAATTTCCAGATTTACCGCCGAAGCGATTCTGCAAAAACTCGAGATGCAACCGTTCGAGACCTAGAAACCAAATTTTTGTGAGCGCTTCGTTGATGACATCTTCGTAGGTATCGATCAGGTTAGAATTAACTACTACGGGGAGCTAATGAACTCAAACACTTCCGATCTAGATCATACTATGGAAGTGGAAACGGATGACTTCGCTCTACAGAAGATCGACGAACACGTTGCAAATGCTTAGTTGCAACAGCAACCACCCACTGCAGCAAAAAAAACGAAGTTGCGTCCGCAAGCTATATCGGTGGGTGGAAACTCGTTGCAGCACGCAGTCACCAAAGTGGACTAGATGAACTTCCTACATGAACTCTTCAGGTCAACGGCTTTCCGCAAACTATCGGTGAACGGATCCGTAGGGTAAGCAAGAGAGCGAAATAAAACGCTTGGCCAGCCAAAGTCGTGGCGGAGCATCAGGTACATGAAAAGGGGTCTCCGAATCCCTGGTTAGATCCCTCGCGCCATTCGGAATAGGAGTTGTCCACAGGTCCGCCAGCAAGTCGTGCGGCCAAAAAACGCGTTCCCTAAGTAGAAAATGTCAGCCATTGTCCAAGTCTTCTATGAAACCGCGGGAATGGCAGCTACTTTGCGCCTATGATTTTGGTCCGATTCTCTTTGGTTCCATATCAGGAAACAGGCCAACCTATGCAGCATCTAGTCATTAGGTGTGAGGCAGCATCAGCATATTAATTTTTTTGTCCTTAGTCAATAAAAAAATCTTTTATAAATCAAACCGTGCTTTATTCAGAAGCTCGGTCGTATCTTTAACGCAGTATAACTTTCATGGATGCGGGGTGGCGTTTCGTGTGTTACAGCGATTTAAGTTCACTGTTCGTGACCTTTCATCACATAGGTCACGAACTGTAATTGTCACTTAAAAGCGATGTCCCTGTCAGAAGATGTTGTTAGTACCGTGCAATTGGGTTATGTTCGTTTATATATGATGATCCACTTTTAGTGAAACATCTAAACGAAACTCTTACCAAAGTGGTTGTAAACCTAACCTTCAAAAGGCTGCCGAGTGAAGTAAAATAATTGGTTCAATCAGTTTAACAGCAGTCTTACTATTTCCATCGCCAGCACTGAGGTCCGACTTCCGCACACGTCCGCGTGCTACTCGTAGAAGGCCTCATTTTGCATAGTACTGCTGAAGAGCGCCGCAGTGTACACCACAAAGACAGTCAGGGCAAACAGATGTGCATACAAGCCAGATATTCGGTTGAGTCAAAAAAGGGCAAGAATATCTCCTAACGCCACATTCGCCAGACGAATCAGATGGGACCGATACATAAGATTCAACTGTAGAGATGTGACCTGGACAGCTGCCACCCCAATCGTTTGGTCGCCCTTCCTAGATACTGTGACAGATTTCCGGAGGGCCGTGGAGATAGGCTTCGATTCCATGCCCCTTTATACTAGCCACAGCACGAAAATAATCACAAACGACAGTTGTTTGGAAAGCAGTCTTAGCTATGTAACGATACAGGACCGCAGGCAGAGACTTCAGCTTGGCGCCACTTCTAAGCCCAATGGAGGTGATCGCCAATTCCTGTCTGACCCTGTACTTGCTGCTCCTTTGCAATGGCAAGCGTCCATCGTGTGCCACTTCATTTGGATTGGCTTACATCTCTTCCATTTCCCCCTATGTTTTCTGTACGCAGCACCTAAATCAGTATGTTGGTCGATGCCGGATTTATCTCCGACATAACCACAAAAACGGCTGGAAATTTTTTGGGAAGACAGACATAGAAAATGCAAAAACGTGTCTCAGACTGAGATATCTCTTTTGTTCAAGCCTTGCATAGCTAATTGAGACAGATTGCTTTGTCTCTGTACTGCCAACTGCTGTTTTTGCATGCGTGTAGAGGCAAAACTCATAAATTAACTAAAATAGACATCACATGCATCATGTAAGACCTCGGGGACAATCATTTTGGCAAGACCTTTTTTCGAAGCCGTACCTGTCATGGGATTGGGGTTAGGGGTTAAGGTTGGGGGTTTGGGGTTAGGGGTTAGGGGTCGGGAATAGGGGCTAGGGGTTAGAGGTTAGGAGTTAAGATTAGGGGACAGGCTGCGGCTTATCTACTGCAATACAGCTAAGAAATGAGATCCGATCACGTTTTCCTTATTTAGGTATTTAGACCTTTCCATGGGATGTGCCATCTCAATGCACATAATAGCCGTAGGTTAGTGCGCAACTTGATTTGTATGTTTACTGAACTATCTGTCAACTATTTCAGACAGATTTTAAACGTAAATACGTATTCGCCTGGTTTACTATGGCACCCATTCTACGAAAATAATTCACAGAAACAAGTAAGTCCAACTCAAAACTTTTGTTCCTTACATCAGTTTTTTGTGCTTGCCTCATCAGACTGTTGACAGTACTCCGTATTTCAGAAACTGACAGAGTGTCCTTACAAGGTAGAATAAATTGATGTGCGTAAAGTTCAGTCAGTTTTTCGTTACGAAAGCCTATTCAGGCGTCAGTTGTCTTTGTCGATGATAATATTTGGGAATGGAGTTTAGCCAACAGATTCCTTCACGAGAATGCATTCAATGCTCGCAATCTAAAGTTACTAGATGTGTGAAACGTTTTCAGTTGGTTTATGTTATTGAAAGATTGGCCGGCTACTAATAAAGGTTAAATAACGGGAGTAACGCAGTCTCTAGCTTCTGTATTCTGATTTCGGCGACAAATCCAAAAATGGCTGACCTATAAGAGCGCTATTGTTTTATTTACAACAATGTTGGTCAAACGAAAAGTCACTTTCTAGGTGTAGTATTTACTTATTTCATCAGCTCGAATTATTCTATCTTCTAATTTGTTTCTCAATTCTGCTAAGAGCGCATGAAGTTTATGCGATATCTGCTGGTATTTCGATGTTCTTAGTACCATGACTATAGAGTGCAGCGGAACATAGTCATTCCATAGGGATTAAGCAATGTTAGGTTCAGGGTACCTGAGAAATTTAGAAAATATTCCGAAAACTGTCTTCTCCTTACAGAATGCATTCGGAATTTATTAATGGAGGAGATTTGTACCCTGCTCGGCTCTGTTGACAGTGATTTAGAAGAGGAACCCTATTTTAACAATGACAGTAGTTTTTCCTATAGTCAGAAGAACTAAGAAGAGTAATTAAGTCTCCGGTGTTATCGGGGACAGTTATAAATATGTTTTATTTTCTAAACTAACTCATGCCTTTTGGTTCTTTTTATTATGTTACCGAAAAATGATTGTAGCCCAACTTTCTTTTTTACTTCAGGTTTGCTACTGGTATGATAGGTTGCCAATTCGCAAAAAAGTATAATTAGCAGGAATCGAGAAAATTCTG